TTTCGATATCCGATATATTTTGCAAATTTTGTCCTATACTCGGCACTTAGGGCCATTCAGCAGGGAGAGATCTTTTTCGTGCAAGCACCTACTGCGACACGGGACCTCGGTTTATACAATCTCGTCCGAAGTACCGGTATCCACGTCCCACAGTGGGATTCGAACCCGCGACGTAAGGTTCAACTCCTTACATCGCGACTCTTTGAGATTGGCCCTATACCGTATACACATGGTATATAAAAATACGAAAGGTAAAGAACAAAATCTTGTTAACATATAGGGAACCCTGCTTCGAGTGCGATTTTCTACATTGCTACATGTACAAAATAATCAATTTAATTCATGCAAGATGTTGTTCAGGGATATGTTGTTTTCAAACCCCTTACAGCCACAACCGGTTATTATGATTTATTTGTCCTAAATTCAAGTTTATTTACCTATTTTCCCTTCACTGGCAACGGAAGAGGAGGCCATTAAGTACTACTTTGTTTAGCGACACGAAAAATCCAGAGATAGCTGATCGGAACTTCATGTTTGTTTTCTGCAACCTTTCATAAAAATACCCCCCCCCCCCTTGAAAAGCATGAAAGCGTCTTTCGTTTAGGTGAATCAATTCTTATAATTAATTACTGAAAAAACAATTTAGGATTCTTCGTACAAAGGTTGTACATTTATATTGTAAATTACTCTAGAGTTACCTCTCTTTGAACTTTTCAAGAATTTTTCTTCTCTCGGTATTGGACATTCAATCATACAATGAAGCGCATTGAAGTGGTAAAATTTTCCGTTCGAATGGAACGTTTTGAGCTATCTTTAGAGTGTTTATTGTCATCTTATGACACGCCTATTTCTTTAGAAATGGATAAAGCGGTCAAGTTGTTTCTTCAAATACCTGTAGAACAGGTTTTCCATAAATATAATAGCCAATCAAATTGAGGATCTAAATAAACACCGAGTAAACACGTGTTCGACCGAAACATGTGTTGTGGTAACTTCAATAGACATGATAAGTTCAAAAATATGTACATATTCGTTGCAATTTGTGTTTTACAGAAGCAGGGAGTCTCTAACTCCCTCTTCTAATTTTTTTAAAGCTCCATTTCAGTGTGTAACTCATGATGCTTGTCGCGAAGAATGGTGTGTCCTAACACTACGACGAATATTTCTTTCTCGTTTCTAAAATTATGGGCGTGTCATTATGTTATAATTGACGTTCAAAACATGACTCAGAACTTTTCATCCAAACGGAAAATTTTACCACTTCAATGCGCTTCATTGTATTTATTCAACAAGGAACAACCTGAATGCATCTCTTGTAGCTGTGTATTTACTGTAAAACACATACTATTAGAATGTTCTGATTTTTTGCCCATACGTAGGAGACTCTTTAATAATGTGCATACAATGCATGACTTTTTTCAAAATATATAATCCTTTTACAACATTGAAGTACATGTATTTGCAAGAAACTGATTTTTATCAATTTATTGATTTAAATTATTTAAATGATTTAGATTTAAATAAATTTATTTAAATGAAAGTCTTTTGTGATTTTTTAATTGAACTGCTTAAGATATCTAATATTGAGGTCCGTCGGATGGGGCGTTAAATGGTGCCCCGTGTCAAGGATTACAATTAATCCCCTTGGCACGCGAAAGATCGTTTCTCTGATTTTCGAAAAAGAGGAAGCTCATTTGGGGCCGTCAGACAAACCCAAATCTTTAAAAACTGGTCAAATGATTTACCCGTTATCGCCGATATATGGCTGAAATATAGTCGGCGTAAAACATTTATCAATCAATCTTTGATTTTGGAAGGAGTGCGCGTTTGTCATGGATCGGGATCGTGAAGTTCCTGTTTCCCGATCTTGCATTTGTCACTTGTAATTTTAATTTCTCTACTCTCTCTTTTTTAACTGCTCTCAGAAGGCAGGGCAACCAATATACTTGATATAGCCTTAACATATATTATTGATGAAATACTTTGAATATGAAGAAAATTCAAGAGCGTTCACGAGATTCATGCACGTGCGTGCATGCAATATGTAGAATTTCCATTTCCATTATACTTGACATGATTTTAACTTTCAAGTCCCCCGTCGTAGAAACCGGAGGGGACAAGAGGTTTCCAATCTTATCCATCCGTCTCTCTGTCCAACTCGGTTTTCAAATCTTTTTTTCTACACGCTTGCAGATATTGAGCTAAATTTTTGTAGGCAAGTTAGTATATCTTGATGAGTACCAGATCAAGTTTACATTTCGTTCCGCTTCAATGTTTTTAACTAACATGAGCTGAAAGCTGATATAGTTGAGTTTATCTGATCCGTCCGTTTGTAAACTGTTTACATTTTCTATTTCTTCTTAAGAACTACTGGGCCAATTTTAACCAAACTTAGCACAAAGCATCCTTAGGTGAAGGGAAGTTTCAATTATTAAAATGAAGGTTAAAAGCCCCTTACAAGGGGAGATAATGAAGAAAAGACAAAAAAAAATGTTGGGGTCATTAAACAAACTTCTTCTCAAGAACGACTGGGGCAAAAAAGCTCAATCTTACGTGGAAGCATTCTGAAGAAGTGGAGATTCTTAATCCCTCAAATGATGACCCCCGGAGCTATGGCGAGGCCACAATAGGTATTCCAAGTTTAACACTGAAATATATCGGAAAAATCTTCTCAAGAATCACTGCGTCTGAAAAGCTGAAACGTATGTAGAAGCATCGTTGGGTAGTGTAGATATTTTTTTCAAATAATGACCCCCGAGGCCATGTCGGGGCAACAATAGGCAGTCCAAGTTTTACACTGTAATATATAGAAAAAATCTCTTCTTAAGAATCACTGGGTTAGAAAAGCTGAAAATTACGTGGAAGCATCCTTCCAATGGGTAGTGTAGATTATAAATTGTTTATTACCACATGAGTCTCAGTGACCCATCTGTTTCACATTTGGATATTTCACTTGGAAAAGAAGTTAATCGTAATCTAATAACCAAGCTCTATTATATTCGTGATGAGTTTACTTTTTCAATCAGCAACTTTCTTTACTTATACAGCAAGATACCTTCATCACCTACGTGTATACAAAGTTTATATATCACAGTTTATTCCATACGCAAGAGCATGCTCTACGTATGAACAATTTTTAAAACGAGGTAAATTATTGACAGACAAGTTTATGAAACAAGTATTTCAGCAGTTTTGTTTGAAGTCATCATTTCGGAAGTTCTATGGTCGATACAATGACCTTGTCAACAATACAATTTAGCATTGGTTCAAAGTTAATTATCTATTCACTGGGTTGACGACGGATTTTTCCGTTAGTTTCCGACCATGTCAAGGAGCATACGGCGGATATGACCATTCGGCAGGGGATGCTCATTCCTCCATCGCACCTGATCCCACCTCTGATGTTTTGGAGGTCTGTTTTTGCTCTGCTCCCATTTTGTATTGTTTTATGGACTTTCAATCTTTAATACTGTTCGTTATCTCCACACTAGAGAGGAATCTAGATTCAATCTGTTAAGATTAGATGGTGTTCCCGCGTCAACCGCGGAGAAGTGAACATTTCGTATATGCATGCGTGCGGGAATAAGGACAGTTTGGAAGAAGGGTTCTATCATTGCTTAGGCAGAGAGATCTTTGCATGCGAAAACAAATATTGTACCAAGCCTTCAGAACCTAAACGTTTTGAGGTATCAGAATCCTTTACTCCAGCCAGTAACCATACCTCACAGCAAGTCGTGGAATGATTCTTATGCAGGGTAATGCAACTCCACATATACATCATCACAACATCAGGGTACTTAACTGGCCCCCATGTAGTGCCGATCTGAGCATGTATGGGACGATATCCTAGCAAGTTGAAATGAAATGCTATAGAAAGAGAAGGTGATAAATTTTCATGTGGGTATTTAGAAATTTTGACCGATATATTTCATTCACACATATTCATTATCTGAATTATGTCCCTCTGCGGGTCAGTTTACGGTCAACAAGTACAATTAACTCTGCCAAATGAAATCTTAAATAAAATATATTGTCTATATATTTGTTGCCTTCTACCAATTCAGTACAGAAATGTACAAAATTGTATCAAATATTTACGATTTGTACAAAGGATCCAACGAGACTGTCGTGTTGAGAAACTATTGTACTCTGGTTCAAGGTTATGGGCCGTTAAAAAAGAACCCATTATCTGATAAAATATTCTAAGAGATACCTTTTATTTTAACAAATGTTTGCGACGTCATTTAAGTTCTTTTTTAACTTCTACTGTTCATTGAGTTTTTCGTGGTAATTCAGTGTCTTATACCAGTGCACTCTGTATAAAGAGTTGCCCTACGAATAAAAGAAACGTTCAATTTACACAAAATCTTCCTTTTTTCTTTCATCTTCACTAACGTTTGAAAAGTAGATCACTCTTGCAGAATTTAATCCCATTTCCTTAGGTTTATTTGAATATGTAACTATATATATATATTAAATTAACAGTGTATAAATATATCTTTTTTTATTTCAAAGTAGAGGATATACGCCATGCAGTTTTGGCAACTGTTGCATCTTCTTGTTAAAGTGTGTGTTGAGACCTCTGTAAAGTATATTCCTTTAATTTGTGCAAAGCGGTACATGATGCATGTGCATTTAAAAGCTATTTCACCATCTTAGATCAAAAATGAAAACGTATATGCATGCAAAATAAAATTAAATCAACAAACCTCAAAGAGAAAATTATATTATTCACAATATTGTAAGACGTCTCCATGTACAATGGTTAAAAACATTTCAATAAATCAAAAATACTGTATGTATTGTCGACTAATCGAAAATAACAGAAAAAAAGCTTCAAACAACAAAGACAGCTAAGTTCCAAGTATCGATAGGCGGCTCAAAGGATCGCTCCTGGATTGGACAGTTTTCTCAGTCGCATGCGGCGGTTAGTTGTTAATCAGGTATATACATACTGACGAAGTGTTCGATCTACTGAAGTGCAGAAAATCGGAACAATTTCAAAGAACTGCAAAAATCATTTTACGGAATTTGATTCTCGGAGAGGAAGAAAGAAATACGCTACTAATTATACACCGAGCTTGTTAAGAAAGGGTTCATATTTTATCTTCTGTGATTCTTCTGTCTCATTTAGTCTTACAAGGATTTAACGGCTGTATTGAAGGAGTATTTCCGATTAATTTTTAAAAGATTTGCTTTAAGTGGTAAAAAAAAAAATCACTCAAAAATGAAGGAAAATTCTGATGCATACCACATTAAAACAACATAGGAACATTGATTAGATCTCCCAAGATTATATGTTATTTTCACAAATACCTGTCGGAATATGAACTTTACAAATGATCTAGCTTTAAGCAGTGCAAGCAGTATGATCGATTTTAGAAACCTTTCCTCTTGGAATAATAGCCTAGAGGAGATGACCACTTATTTTCAAAATGGAAGTTTAAACAATCGACCACCTGTGAGGAAATGGTCCCCTCCGCCATTGACTATCACGGGTTATATTGTTATTCCGTTGTACATTTTGATATTTTGTGTCGCCGTGGTTGGAAATGTTCTTGTCATTTTAACCTTGATTCAGAACAAACGAATGCGAACAGTGACCAATGTCCTCCTTCTGAATTTGGCCATCAGTGATTTACTGTTGGCGGTGTTTTGCATGCCATTCTCCGTTATACCCATGCTTTTGCAAAACTTCATTTTTGGCGAACCAGTTTGCTTAATGATCGGGTATTTACAAGGTAAGTTATACTTGATTATTTATAGGTATGCATAAATATATAGTTATTTATCTGCAATTGAGCGTTCTTATCAAAGCACACTCTCAAAAATTGAAATTTTTAAAAATGATCCACGTATTATCATCATCTCAATTTTATTGAATGACTCAAAGAATGTAAATATATGATATTCTATCTACTGTGTCTCAAGCAATTTCGGAAACGGGAAAACTTTCCCTATTGTAAACAAGACTCAACATAATTTGTTTCCACTGCAGAGAATATATCATAATGTCCAAAATCGTGGCTCGACAATGAATTTGCGTTGTAGAAAGTAATAAAGTATGCATATGAAAAAATTAAACAAGGAAAGCACGATCATCTGGCGATAGTTAAGACTGTTGCTTTATCAATGTTCTCCGCAGGATTAGAAAATGTTCCATTTGAAGAAAATGATCGCATGAAATAAATGCTGTAAATTTTCGTAGACCTGTGTTCACTGTGAATGTATATTCATTATGAAAATAATGTGCAAATGTTAAGGGGAAGAACAATGAGACTGTAAAAAAAAAACTCCTTTCTAAGAACATATGAAAAACGGTAGCAACACAGCCTATTCTCTTAATTAAAAGAACATGCAAAAAAAGGTCATTATCAAGTCTAGACGAATAAATCTTCAAAAGAACTATTTTTTTCTTTTATTAAAATCATAACAAACAGGTCACAAGCATATCACATTCAAAAGAAAAAAAATGTGTATTATGAATATAAAATTGGTTAAATATGATTAAAAAAAATAAGAAGTATCAAAATCACATTATTTTTTTTCAACTATAATAGTAAAAAATTATTTTTAAAGCATAGTTTTTGTTGTGTAAAGGGGGTACCCTAATCGAACCTCATGAATTCTCACAATTTTTCTAGCCCCCAGGAATGGCATACATTTTTATATTGGAATTTCATGGTGTTCTGCGATAAAACACCAGAGCGCTCAGTCCGCTGTCATTAAATTCGCGTTATATGCATAATTTTATTAGACGGATCAAGTCAAAAAAGATTGTGATTTATGGAAGTATTACGAAAAAAAGTTCTGTATATCTAGCCATCTGGCAACTGATTTTTTAGAATAGACTTTCTCTGGCTTTTTGTTCATCCTTATCATTATTAAACTTTTGTTTTCAATGCGATATAGGTGGCACGATTTTAGAAACAAATTACGTCAAAAGATCTTTAGATAAGTTCTTGATTTAAAACACGTGGCTTGTTTCATAGTTTAATACGATATAAATTATTACTGAACCAAATTGAAGATATTATAATCAGTAAATATTGAAATTTAATGATAAAAAGTTACGCGAAAATTATGTGTGGCGAGAAAGGTTCAATTTTCATCACGGAACTAGATATTACATGTAAGTTGTCTCCTCTATCAACTGTGCATACAGTTACTATAACGTTCAATCAAGAATGTGACAGATACCAGCTGGTACTTTTAGATATAGGGTTTTTCTGTTGACGCCAGCTATATGCATAACTTAATGGTTATTCTTCCGAAATTAGAAACGTACCATGGAATTGTGCCAGTGCACTGAGGAACATCGTGTCAGTTCCCGTGACACAAAAGATTTTTAAGGTCAAAGCAATAGTCTGAAGAACGTAGATTTTAAAATTACGAACTTTCCTATGATGAAAAAAATATTTTAAAGACTGCAGAAAAGGAGTATCTTAAAAATGAACTCTTCGTCAATAAACCCACAATTACTTTCTTAATCAAATATTTAATTCAACTTGCTAACAAGTGCGAGTCAAATGTCTAGGCATTAGTAAATGGTATTATACATGCTTTATTTTGTAGTGGTTTCCCGCACATTTTTACCGTACTTTCATATTCTTTAGAATAAAATTAGATACACATGTTCCTATCTCCGCTCCCTATTAACTTGTAAAGTACATATTTTATCATGAAAATCATTTTAAAACCTCTTTCGCAGAATTTGAATGCCCTCTTCCTTCCCCCAAACCCAGGTGGCAGTACAAAATTTACAACAAAGGAACTTGTCAAGTTGTAATTTTGCATAAACTGCCACCCGGAAAATCCAAAATTTCAGTACGACATGACAAATAACAGACTTTGTATGACAACAAGAGGCCCACGGGCCTTATAGGTCACCCGAGTATTGCGTAACAACTTTCAAACAATTAAATTTGGTTCGTGTTTTAAACCAGAGGCCATGAAATTCACAATTCACAATTTTGAAAGAGGCACCATTGCTAATCATAATTAAAAATACTCTACCTACTCAATACCCAGAGGTAGATCAGAGTTACAAAGAGAAAATGTTCTTCCACTTTATAACCAGTTGTGCACCTCACCCCAAAAGAACCACTGACCCTGGGGCCACATATTTCAAAATTTTGCAAATTTTATCATAAAATGGTTGATTAATACCAAAGAGCAGGTTTCAAAGCATTAATTTATTTTCAGACTATGTACCCCCCCCCTCCCTCTCGGGGCATAAAAAAAACCATTTTTGCTATATGCACCTTTCTTCATCATAAATATATATACTTGGATCATTGGCATAAAATTCCCAATTTTGGAAAAGGCACTCTTGCTTTTCATTTCTATATGCTTAGTTTATTTAATACTCATATGCAGAGAAGAAGATTTTCAAAGAATAAATGCATTTTCACTATATAATCTATGCAGCCCCGCACTAACACCAGAACCCCTGACCCTGGGGCCATAAATTTCACAATTTCGGATAAGGCACTCTTGTTCATCGTAACTATGTGCTTAGTTAGTTAGTTTATATAATACCCAGAAGCAGAGAAGAAGATTTTCAAAGAATAAATGCATTTTCGCTATATAATCTATAGAGTCCCGCCCTAACACAAGAACCCCTGACCCTGGGGCCATAAAATTCACAAATCTGGAAGAGGCACTCTTGCTCATCATAACTATGTACTCAGTTAGTTTATTTAATACCCAGAAGCAGAGAAGAAGATTTTCAAAGAATAAATGCATTTTCACTATATAATCTATAGAGCCCCGCCCTAACACCAGAACCCCTGACCCTGGGGCCATAAAATTCAAAAATCTGGAAGAGGCACTCTTGCTCATCATAACTATGTACTTAGATAGTTTATTTGATACCCAGGAGCAGAGAAGAAGATTTTCAAAGAAATAATGCATTTTCACTATATAATCTATATAGCCCCGCCCTAGCACTAGAACCCCTGACCCTGGGGCCATGAATTTCACAATTTTGGTAGAGGACTCAATGCTTATTACATTCATGCTAACAGTTTGCTTGATGTCCAGGAGTAAAGAAGAAGATTTTTAAAGATTGCAATAATTTTAGTGGTTTTGGCCCAACCCCTCAGGCCCCAGGGGGGCGGGGACCATGAAATTCACAATTTTTGTTTCCCTTCACCCATAAATGCTGTATACCAAATTTGGCTGAAATTAGTTCAGTGGTTGCAGAGAAGAAGCTGAAAATGTTCAAATGTTAACACACGACGCACGACGACGCCGGACGAAAACGGATAGCAATAGGTCACCTGAGTTACTCAGGTGACCTAACAATGGACGTAACATTATGTTTAATTCATGACAGACAAACAGTTGTTGATGAGAAGGTAAACAATTCACTTAATCCCAGTTCATTTTATGTCAATTGATTAATACATTATGCGTTCCGACCACGAAAGAAATCACAAGAAATTCATTCTAGATAGCGTTCTTATACTAGAGGAAAAAGTAAATGTAGCCTTTCAATATTTTAGGGTTACTGTGTCTTTTCGGTGCGTTCGCTTGTGAGTCGAAAAGAATTCTCGAGTTTAATACTTTGTACAATCAGTTTCAAATAACAAGGCATGTGAGTCATTCAGGAAAAGTCCCTAGCTAGGCATTTGCCATTAACTAATTAGTACGATCACAACAGCGAGACTCGTAGGCTATTGTTGGACATATTCAAGTGCAAAATTTAACCCTCCGATCCGTTTCCTTGCGATTTCATTAGCGGTGAAGTCAACGGTAAAGGCGAAATTAAAACGTTCTGACTAGTTTGATTTCTACTGCCTCGGAGAGACGATGATTGCAATCTGTTCCTTTGATTAAAGATATTCGTTGGGTTAAGAGAGCTCTTGGTAGATTCCACTAAAATAACCACGCTAATTTGGGATATGCTTTCTAGCAGCGTAATATAGTAATACATATATATATTAAATGGACTTGACATTTTTGCTAGTTTTATTTTGACAAAATACTGCAAATGGGAATTGTCATTCAGGGATACGAAAAAAAATCCATACGTAAAAGAAAATTGAAAAGAGAAGTTCAAACGATCTGAAGTTAAATTATTATTAACGGCGAAGTGAAGGCTACAAAGATTAATTTACACCGTAGGTAAGATTAACGTAGAGAAGTATTAACTCAAGAAAATGTACTGACATTATTACCAAACGAAAATACTAGTACACTGGCAAAATATATTCTTGGTCACTATAGGAATTAAAAACGGATCGAACGTACATTTTATTTCACCACATACAGAACTCCAAAAATTTCTTTCCGAGTATACTTCAAAAGGAAGTTAGAAACCTGGTATTTTCAAGGATTTTGAATTGAAAAGAACAAATCTCAAGAATATGTCACAAACTACATAAACTTAAATACTTCCAATAATTGATAATTACTTTCCTGGAAAATTTATTATTTAAATTGCCAATTTTATAAAAATCTTGGATATTAAGTTAAAGGGTCATACTTATTCGTTTTTGTATTTGTTGATTTTTTTAAACGCCACTTTAAAGTAGTCTTGTCCGATCTATTCTGTAAAACAGCATACGACTAAAATAACCACGTTACATGTATACAGTGTATTTAGATGCCCGATTTATATCGTCTTCTAATTTCGATGAATACTAATGCTGATATTAACTGTTAAAAAATCTTTAATTCTAAAAGATTCATTTTTTTTGTTACAAAAGTCGACATGATTGATTGTTGTTCAACGTCCCTCTTGAGAATTTTTCACTCAGATGGAGACGCCACCACTTGTCGGTGGAGAGCTGAAAATGTCCTGTACTCGGCACTTACGGCCTTTGAGCTTTGAGGGGTCTTTTTCGTGCCAGCAACTACTGCGGCACGGGACCTCGGTTTATACGGTTTCATCCGAAGGACCGGTCTCCACGTCCCACAGTGGGTTCGAACTCGCTAACATCAACTCCTTCACGACTCTAGATCAGACGCTCTAACTACTGCGCCACGCAGGCGAATTAAAAGTCGACATGAAATCTGATAATTGGTTTCTGATTTAATGATTGTATAGTTGCCATCACTTAAAGCAAAAATTAAAGTTTTTTTTTCTCTCTTAACGTTACTCCATTTACAGATTTTCAACTTTGAGAATAAAACGTGGGAAACAGACTGCAATTAATTCAAATCCTTTGCCCCAACCCCACCCAACAATAAGTTCAGAAAAATATCAGATTATTTAGTACTGTAAAACTCAACACAAATTGATTCAGATGCGGGGTTAGTCCGAATCATCTGACGATTTCCATGTATTTTACAATATTTTGATATTATACACGTTTTCCTGGCACGTAAAATATCCAATCGTAAAAAGCCAAGACAATGTCAGATATTTCGGACTATCGCGGGGTAGTTGCGACTATTATCTTCCGCCCTTAAAAACTACAAACCAGTAAAGCTACAGTCCTCTTCAGATTTTTTTTTTACTATTATAGCTAGCTGTTGAAGTGTAACCCGAAGAACAGCTACACGTAAAAGGGGTTATAAATAAAACTCATTAAAGATAAATGTGTTAAACAAGTATGTCAATTACAAAAATTAATAACAAACAAATGAACTTTTAGATATCATTCTTTCAACAATTGTGGTAACTTGCACGCTGTAGGTGTCTTTCCGTTTACGAGTGGGCATCTGTGGTATAAATGTAATCTTGTGATTGTCGGGGGTTTGAAACAAATTCAATAAGTATTATTGTTACTCTGGGACACATCCTAAACTTACAGAATCTATAATAAGAAGCCAGATATTGGTTTTCTTTCAGAGTGCGAATGAAATTTCTCATCATATATTTCTCGCACGGTTAATATTGCATCTCGGATGAAGAAATTACGCAGATCATGATTTGTTCTATGACAGTTAAGGTCTGTGATTGGAGAAGATTGGGTGCTGTTTTACGAATCCTTACAATAGAGAAAGTTTTGATGCTATTGAATTTGGTAGGCTTGGTTTTATAGGCTTTATTCCTGAGTAATAAAATTTCTTGGATAGGAGACGCAATAGCATTTCTGTTGAAGATTCCTTCAAATTTAGGCTTCTTCAGGGGCAAATAGAATGAAAAGACATATACGAATTGTCGTAAGAAAGGGAAAAACGTGGTTAGCGCAGCTTAGCGGCTAACATCACCCGTTTAATCGTAAATAAAAATACCCAGGCACGTAGCAACATTTTCAAATGTGGTGGTGTGGGAGGGGGGACATGCCCTTCCGAAAATATTTTGAATAAAACATGACATGCTAAAGTTAGAAAAAAAAGAAATGGATATTGATAATTTTTAACAGAATTGGGGAATTTGCTAGTGCTCAACTTAATAGAAACATAAAAGGAGCTGCACCTAAATTTACCGCCGAAGATACAAGCCCCCCCCCCCCCCCCCCCCCCCAGTTTTCATCTTGATATCAGTTAAGTTAAAGGTTTAAGTTTGAAAGCTCTCTGATGAAATTGTACTTTACACAATTTCAAAAACTCCTGTATATTCCACAGATTTTTGGGTGCAATAACCTCATTTTAGAAATCTGTTCAGTACACTTTTAATCTCTTCTGACTTTCCTTTGTAACATAATATTTTAAACAAACCGTGATTTAAAAACAAAAACTTTTACATTTAAAATTTAATTTTCTTTTCATTTACCCACATTAAACAATGCCCCTAGGTAACCGAATTTTCTTTTATCTCAAATATTCTTCATTTTAAGAAATCATTTAGGATCATCCAAATATTGTTTAAAAGATTTACTGGGGTGTATTAAATTCTGGAGGATAAAGCACACTGCTGTGATATCGGTCGTTACAGACATAGGAATCACTGATTAAAAATAAGGCTTTCGCTGTATGATTTACGCCATCAAAATATTTGTCTGTTGTCGACTTTAAAGAAACTAGATTTTATATTAATTTTGAAACTTGATACCAAATTATATTGAAATATGTAACATTTCTAGCTTATGCGATAAATCAGAAATTAAGTTTATTGCATTTGTCGAAATATCTAATGAACAAAAACAAAATACAGCTCAAGCTTCTTGGCGATTAGACTGTCTTGAAAGATAATCGAACTTATTCCTAAAGCTTAATTTTTAAAGAATTGGTCATAGAGTGTTCTCGCTTTGGCAAATATATGTATTACACTGAATCAAACAAATAACATAATAAACCAGGGGGCTGAAAAGACAAGAGAAAAATGACGAGTTCTTTGGTACATAACTATGGCTGTGATCCTTTTTAAATTAAAATAAAAACGAATTATTTATCAGATGTCATAATACGACATTAAATGACGTGAGTGTTATAGAATAACAATTTTACCCTAGATTTGACTCTTATAAAAATATTGTGAAAATATCCTACTCATTATAAAAAAAAGTTTATTACTACATGCATATTCCTTCTACATTTCTACAACGAAAACTACAACCTAAATTAATTTACTTAAAAGAGTACATAGATTCTGCACAAGTTGACATACCCTCTGTATATATCAACTTTAAAAAGTGAACAGGCAACATTTAAGACGATCTTAATTTCAGGCGCACATGGCTGTTGTGGGTTAGTAGCAATAATAAAAATACTTGTAAAAATGAATTTTTATAAGGGACAGGTTTATCTCTCAAACCATGAAGTTGCTATTTCATATACATGTATTTATTTTCTTTTCTTATTTCTCGTCGAGAATAAATTAATATTTTTAAATATGAACCTGTAGTTCCCTCGTCAGTAGTTTTTTTTCCGGAATACTCCCCAATAATCATTTTCTCCAGCTAATCTTGCCCTAGTCCCTGAATTCATTCACATGACAAACGAAATTTTAAATGACAACACGTTATTCCTCTTCATATGGGGTCCTGTCCTTCCACTTAACCCTCTCACTATTTTTTGCATGTTCTCTAGTGATACTTTGTAACAAAATTGTTTGTCCCAGTGGATGTAAGAAATGAAAAAGTTGAATGATACTGAAGGATCGTCTCTCAAAAAAGCCCACGAGTGCCTCTGGCCTTAGCTAAAAAGAAAATATATAAGCTGTTTGGAACTGAACTCTTACAGATTAAATATTAATATTTAATTTTATATATTTTGTAGGGGTTTCTATTGCAGTGAGCTGCTTTACGTTAGTGGCCTTGTCATTGGAGCGCTATTTCGCCATTTGTAGACCTCTTAAGTCGCGATCATGGCAGACTCTCTCACACTCCTACAAAACAATCATTGTATGTTGGATATTAGCTTTAGCAGTCATAATGCCAGTCCCTATTCACATAAAGTATAGAAAGTACCCTCGATATGGTGCAGCAACTTGCCGGGAAGAATGGCCCGATGACGACCAGGAGATAGCATATAGCATTATACTGCCAATCCTGTTGTTGGCGATTCCTTTGATTATCATGAGCCTTGCCTATGGAATGATCAGCATTACACTATGGTCAGGAATAAAACTTGATGAAAAGAGTGAAAAAGGTATAATACCATGTAACTATATGTACAACAGCTTTAACAAAAATACAGTATTTTTTGCATACCTTACATTTTACAATCATTCGCACTTAAATTGTGTACATTTATTACAGAAGCCAGGAATGGAGGGGCCAAAACAGCTGATGAGGAGACATCTTCTTTTCTGCGAACGGACGATACTTCATCATCAAATGGTACCCCTATATTTGCCACTAAGATATTTAAAACTCGTGACACTTTGCGTCCCAATGGGAAATCGTGTCGAATAAATTTGCGTGGTGGTATTCGACAGACAAACGGGGATAAAAGTAGGGCATCGAAGAAACGGGTCATTAAGATGTTATTTGCACTAGTCTTTGAGTTTTTTCTATGTTTAACACCATTTTACATTATCCATACGTGGATCATAGTTCATCGACCTAGTGCCACGAAACACCTTTCTAAAGAATTTGTAATGTTCATAAATCTACTGGCATATGTGTCAACGTGTTGCAATCCTGTGACATATTGTTTTATGAACAGAAATTTCAGGCAGGGATTCGTGTCTGTTTTTCGATGTATTTACAAGAAGCGAATGAAAAGCGAAACGTCATTTTACGTTAATGGTGGATCGAGTATGTCAAGAACACATATGAGTCGGATTCCATCTTATGACAAAATGCAACAGGAAATGGGCGACATGTAAAACTTTATTACAAAAAAAGAGTGATAGAAGAACAGTCAATATGGATAAAAGACAACAAATGAATACTTTGACTGTGTGTCACTTGAGCTGACATAGATAAATTCTGTTCTGAAACCATTGACAAGCATTTATTATTGAACTGGTATGATTTAATTAAAACCATCAGCATCACTGTTATACACATATATGTACATGTATAATTTTATGTGATTTGTTTCTTCTGTGACATTCATGTATGACGCAAATTTCGTTCGACTCACTTTACATCCAGTGATTGGGTCCATCTTGAGCAAAGACGACACTTTTTTAATTTATATTGAACATACATTTGTTCTTTCAAGATTGTATTAAAAACCATGTTCAGATAATCTACAGACATACAAGTTGATGTTAGCGGAATTTCAACAAATTCATTTAAAGTCGGCATCTTGTTAATTCTATAGTCGTTATAACCTTGTTATAAAATATAACTTATAATCATGTTGCATTTTAGCTGATATTTTTCACACCAATTGTCAAGTCGTTGCTACTACACTGATTTTCACTGCAGAATGTTCCATCTACCTCATCAATACATAGGGCTCATGACGGGTGTGACAGGGATGCTTACTCGTCTTAGGCATCTGATCCCATCTCTTGAAATTCTGTGTTTATGCCCTTTTCAATTCAAGATTTGCATTGTTTATAGATTTTGGGGGGATTGATCACTGTTAGTTATCTGCACCTTTTTTAGCTCTACTGGTCAGAGACCAGAAGAGCTTATGCGATAGTAAGGTGTCCGTCGTCCGTCCGTCTGTCTGTCTGTCTGTCTGTAAACAATTTTTCAAAATGCTACTCCTCCTACAGTTTTGGTCTGATTTTAATATAACTTGGCACACAAGTAGACTACATTAAGATACATAAAATAGTGCATCGGTTTTTGATTTCGATGAACGGTGTTGCCATGGTTACTAAAAATAGAATTTTCTGTGAAATTCCTTTAAAATGCTACTCCTTCTACAGTTTTGGTCTGATTTCAATATAACTTAACACACAAGTAGACTACACTAAGATACATAAAATAGTGCATCAGTTTTTGATTTCGATGAACGGTGTTGCCATGGTTACTAAAAATAGAATTTTCTGTGAAATTCCTTTAAAACGCTACGCCTTCTACAGTCTTGGTCTGATTTCAATATTACTTGGCACATAAGTAGACTACACTAAGATACATAAAATAGTGCATTGGATTTTGATTTCGATGAACGGTGTTGCCATGGTTACTAAAAATAGAATTTTCTGTGAAATTCCTTTAAAATGCTACTCCTCCTACAATTTTGGTCTGATTTCAAAATATCTCGGCACACAAGTAGACTACACTAAGATACATAAAATATTGCATCGGTTGTTGATTTCGATGAATGGTGTTGCCATGGCTACTAAAAATAGAATTTTCTGTGAAATTCCTTTAAAATGCTACTCCTTCTATAGTTTTGGTCTGATGGCAATGGCTTCTTTTCTCATCCTCTGTTATAAGTTCAAACCAGTAGAGCTACAGTCTCGACAGAGACTTCTGGTTTCATTATAAATCATTTCAACATTTATTTGCTTGTATGAAATTCTTATAATTCCAAACTATACTGGATATTTTACTATTAAATATAAGTTGAATCTCAAATACCTTACGTTCCAAATAGATTTTAAATAATTTTCGATTGATTGGGTATTTTTTTTTTTTTTACTCTTGGTTGACTTATTTCAAATATTTTTTTAATTGTTTGCCAAGATATAAAAAAGCGTTATTGCATATTTCAACATATAGTACATGACTTCTATGAGACACAATTCTTAAAACATGTAACAAAAGACATGAAAAGTAGGATTAACAACTCAAATACTGCGATAAGGGTAGTAATACATCTGAAATCTATTTTATATCTTATCTCCTCTCTTAACATAAGTATGTTTTAAAGCTCAACGTTGCCCCAATAATATATATTGACCAAAACATCTCATTTTGCGCAGAAGTATTACACGAATTTATTTTCACGCAGTTAAATCGTAATTTTTTTTCTAGAGCATTAACCCCTTCAATGTTGAAAGTATTAAATTTATTTTCGCACAGATTTTTCATTTTCGGTTCGTATCTAAAATATTATTAGCTGAAGAGATTCAGGTAAGATATCAAATAGCTGATGGTTTTCGATAACCTTTAGAATTCAAATGATATCCGTAGTCATTATACAAATTTGGAGTTGGAAATCGGCGGCATTATCCAAGAAGAAAGTTCCAATTACAAACAGGATATTATTTTCGATTAGCATAAATTTTCTAATCCATCTAATAAAAAAAATAATCCCAGGATGCAAAGAAGATGCATGCCTAAAAATGATTGAGAGGAGGCTGGGAATCTGTATTAAGATGGATTAGTCCTGAGGATCAAATGTATACTAAAACTGCTTTAAACAAAATTTTTCCGATAGGCATTTCCTGTAACTATAGATTTCTTTGACTTCCAAGCTTCTGATAAATCTGAACAAAATCGGAACGATGAGCGTTTTATAGATAATCATCGAGACTTTTTGCTATCACCAAAGTGAAAAGAACACGAGAGAGCAAAGGCAACTAAATTGAATCTTAAAGATTGTATAGAAAATGTTAAATGTCAAAGCAACGATAAGATTTGACACATATCTTAACATCAGTTTAGCCTAGAACACGTTTGAAAGCGATCCATCTTCTCTTGATGTTAATTTATCGAGTGTTTTATAGTTTTGTTCGACATTAACTATAAACTATGGCATACTCTAAAACCTGGCCTGGCCCCTTTGGCCTGGCCTGGCCTCTAAGTTGGCCTGGCCTCTATCTTGGCCTCTAATTTGGCTTCAAACCAAATTTTGGCCTGGCCTCAAAAGTTGGCCTGGCCTCAGATTTGGCCTCTGTAAAAATTTTTGGCCTCACTCAAAAATCAATTTCTTTTTCAGAATTTGATTGATTTCATTGATTTTTTATTGGTTTCATTTTTTCAAAGATTAAGCAGGTAAATAATATATTTCTGTTGATATGTAAATGCTAACATTAAAAATAATCGTGTACTACCACCAATTTGATTTATTTTATTGATTATCAATCGATCAGTGTACACTTATTTCATTTTATGATTTGATGACAGGTATTTTATACTGACACTACCTACACTCTTGCTTAATTATTTAGAAAAAAAGTATAAGAGTTTATTTTGTGTTTTCCAAATTGTGCACATTGAAAAAAAATATATAGTAATAATTCATGTCAAATGTCATTAATAGCTTTGAAAAATTCCCACTTGTTTAGTGATGAATCATCACCTTTCACACACTGTAGAGAGTTTTGTTACTGTTATGCCTGCATCATCTTAAATGTGACATATAAATACAGGCACTAAAGAATTTTAAAATAAATATACTACCATATACCAATGCAGATACCAAAATGTTTATATTATACTGATTTGATTACTCTGTTAAAAACTCACATGTACTTAAATCTAAGAACAGTTGGTATTTAAAAAACTAATATAAATAACATTGTCAGATAATTTATAACTTTCTGTTCCTGTGCGGTAACACTGTAATTGGATATCTAATGACAAAAAATTCTGCAGCATGGTTCTTGACAGGAGATAAGGTTGAAGTAAATCAGCAATGAAATGTATATGTGCATAGGCTGTTAAGCCATCCATGATTTGTAAAGAATTTCCTGCTACAACTTTCACTATCTACAATTATCAAAACAAAAGTTGAGTTTGATGATAGTTTATTAACATTTGTGCTGTAAAACAGTTGAATCCTATCAACCAGACCATTAGAACCCTATTATATAAAATGTGGCCAATTACTTGTATATCATAGTATTGACACTTTTTCTATCAGTTTGTAAAAGTAGTCCACGTTATCAACAAGATTTTTTTTATTCTGAATAAAGAGTTTATAAGACATGTAACAAGTGATACTTTAAATAGCAAATTAAAAATTCTTTTTAAGTCTTAGGTAATTACTACCCATCTGCATTTCTTTGCTGTCTTGATAATTTAAATCGATGTTTCAAAATGTTTTACTTTATAAAATCATCAATCCTACTATGAAAAGTCTTCAGAATTGCAACTGATCAATTGATAATCAATAAAATAAATCAGATTGGTGGTAGTGTATTATTATTTTAATGTTCACATCTACATATCAACAGAAATATATTATTTACCTGCTTAATCTTTGAAAAATTGAAACCAATAAAAAAATCAATGAAATCAATCAAATTCTGAAAAAGAAATTAATTCTTGAGTGAGGCCAAAATTGAGGCCAAATATTTTTACAGAGGCCAAATCTGAGGCCAGGCCAACTTTTGAGGCCAGGCCAAAAGTTGGTTTGAAGCCAAATTAGAGGCCAGGCCAACTTAGAGGCCAGGCCAGGCCAAAGGGGCCAGGCCAGGTTTTAGAGTATGCCATAAACTATACATATCACCCGTAAATAATGGTTGTAAACGTCAACCGTGTTGTAATGTATTCCAACATGTATTTCCGACCACATTTATTTTACATAAATAAAAACTTTCGAGGAAAAGTTCTTTTTATTACTGTCGTTTATTGCTTCCACGATGGAAATGGTTCCTTGTACTCACGTAAAAGTGATTGGTGATGTTATTTCGGGTTTCGTATGTCAGACAGATTGAATATGAAGATGAAATTTTCTTTGCTAAAACGAGAAATCAACAAGGCTTTAAATTAGCATTTACAGAAACAATATTCCTTCGAACGGAAATAAAGGATTGGCATTAAACACGATATTTATATACTTATTTACATATAGAGCAGCTTAATAAACTACACAGGCTTTACGACGAATGAGCTCGTTTCCCGGGCATTTGAATACAAATCATGCGTTCTCAAAACACATTGCAATCAAATTTTACTATGATCGTCTAAATATAACCAACTTTAAATACCGGTATTTAAATCTGCAGATATACAAGGTTAATACACTTTGAAAAAATTATGCATTTTGAATTTTTTTTTCCAAACAGCGTTAAAATTTGAACCAAGTTAATGCACATTCGAAAATTATTTAAGGAATGAATTTAATACGTACCCATTTTATACGGTATAAACTGGGTTGGGGCACTTTACGCTTTTATATAAACCGCGAAGCGGTTTATTAAAAAGCGTAAACTGTTCCAACCCAGCTTATACCGAAACAATGGGTAGCTATTAAATTCATTCCTTATAATTTAATTTTCATTCATTTAATGTAAGAAAAAAGATGATTGTTCTAACAAAATGACTTCAATTTGTACAAAATTTGAATGTAACGTCAGGCGGATTGATTTTTGACGCAAGTCATTGTGACGTAGGCAACCCATTTTATACGATATAAAGTAAATTTTTTATCCAATCAAATACAGCGTTACAACCAGAATTGAATTATTTATAATAATTAGATTCATGTAAATTGTAAGATTGATAAATAA